GTCGTAACAGTTACAGCTCAAAACGTATAGAAATTCTTTTGGAAGAACATAGTATGTCGCTTCGGGTTACCTCGGGTACGGATCTCCGACAATGGCAAGCAGTTCGAGGACATCAAGTTTCAGGAATGGTGCCAAGATATGGGGATTCGGCAGAACTTCACATCAGTCGCGCACCCGCAGGCAAATAGTCAAAAAGAAGTGATGAATAGAGCTATCCTCCGCAGACTGAAAGCGCAACTAGACCGAGCTAAAGAGTTGTGGGCGGACGAGCTACCAAGTGTTCTATGGGCTCACCGAACTACGGAAAAAAACGCCACAGGAGAGACCCCCTTTAACCTCACCTACGGCACTGAAGTGGTAATCCCGATGGAGATCAAAGTACCTACACTGCGACTAGAAGCATATGACAATCAGACAAACGGAGACGAGCTACGTACCAACCTCGACCTACTGGATGAGGTAAGAGACCTCGCATACATCTGGACCGCATCTTACCAGCAAAGAGTAGCTCGGTACTACAATGTCAGAGTAAAAAGTCAGAACTTCCACGTCGGCGACCTGGTTCTCCGTAAGATCATGGCACCCGAGCCCGGCGTGGGCAAACTTGGACCGAATTGGGAAGGGCCCTACCGAGTAAAGAGAGCGCTCGGGGGAGCATACGAGCTCAAAACATTAGAGGGCAAACAAGTACCCTGAGCGTGGAACGTCGTTAACTTAAGACGATACTACCTATAAATTACCAAGCGAAGTGGACTAGGAGTCACTATCAAAGCCTGAGGGTTAGAATGACGAGCTAACAAGGACCTCGGCACCATAAGACTTAGTCACCCCTTCGGCACGGGCATGCAAAAGAAAAATGCTAACACCAAGCTGACTGGCAAAGTGAAAACAGCAAACTGATAAGGACCTCAGCATCTCATCATCAAAGGCATATGGTCAATTCGGCAATATAGTCAGTTCGGAAAAAAGAGGGTGACAACAACTTAATCAAAAGAACGTTTCATTACAAAATACTCTATTTACATAACAAAAAAAATCCAGCAGTCTGACAAATCTCAGTCCTCACCTTCGGAAGGCATGTCGACGATACCCGAAGGTCCTGCCTCATCCTCAGAATCTGGTTCACCATCAGCCGCGTTAGCCATCTCCTAAGTAATGCGCGAAGTAGTTATGGCGCTGATGTCGAGCTTGGGGTACGTATTCCTAATCTTCCACCGGCTCAGTTTAAAACCCCTTCTGTACGAGCCCACCATCAGGTCATCAAAGCGCAGCGAGGCGATATAGTCTTCAACGGCCTTCTTCTTGGCATCCTCGATGCCCTGAGAAAAGATCTCTGTCCTCTCCCTAATATCCTGTTGAAGGTATTCGACCTGATGCTGCAAGTCCAGCCTCAGGTCCGCCATGTTCTTCACCACCACTCCCATGGCCTCGGTGTCTCTTTGAGACCTCGCCAGCCTGGCTTGTGCACTGCGAGAAGCCGCTTCGGCAGCCCGAGAAGTCACTTCAGCAGCTCGTGCCCGCCTTGAGCTCCTTTCCGCTTGGGCCGCTAAGGCATGGATGGAGGAGTTCACCTACCAAAAGGAAAAATAACGAGAATGTTCAAAGAGCAATAACAAGAAAGATAATGACAAGGAGCCCGACAAGAAGTCGCTGACTTACCACCATGGCATAAGAGGCAGCACGCCCGACTACATGGTTCAAAGGAAGCTCGATCCACGCCGCGACCTCCTCAGGGTAGACAGCCTCCCTACTTTTTTGAAGAGCGTGGTTCGGCGACAACACGCTCCTGAACTCGCCTTGGCCTCCCGAGCCTGAAGGCCCAACTCGCGTATAAGCAGTCTCAGTGTAAGGAGGA